GTGGCTCAGTAGGTTAAGCCTCTGCCTTCGGCTCGGGTCATGATCCCAGGGTCCTGGGATCGAGCCCCACATAGGGCTCTCTGCTCTTCGGGGAGCCTGCTTCCCCCTTTCTCTCTGCCTGCCTCTCTGACTACTTGTGATCTCTATCTGCCAAATAAATAAATAAAATATTAAAAAAATTTTTTTTAATATCATAAAAAGAGGAGTGCCTGGGTGGCTCATTCAGTTAAGTGTCCGACTCTTGATTTCTGCTCAGGTCATGATCTCAGGGTCGTGGGACTGAGCTCCACGTTGGGCTCAGTGCTCAGTGCAGAGTCTGCTTCTCCCTCTCCCTCTGCTCCTCTCCCCACCCTCCTTCTCCCTCTCTAAAATAAATAAATAAAATCTTTAAAAAAAAAAAAAGTAACAAACCAATTTTAGAACTCCAACCTCCAACCTCCCTTCCCACTCGCCGCCAACCATCACTGCCAGAATACTTACACAAGGGATGTTAAGGTTTATCCTCAGTTTCTAATCACCCATAAAAGCCTATCTCTAAAAAATTCTTTTCTGACAGACTAAATCAAACCGAACCAAAGCAAACAAACCTGTTTCCTCTTCCTTTCATGGAATATCTCCAGCTCATGGGTCTTTCAGATTCTTTCAATGAAGCTTCTTATCATAATTAGCCAAATGTAGGTTTACAGTTCAGTTTACGAGGGGAAAAAACCCCAAATCAGAGTATTTCAAAGTGGCAGTGCTAAGCTGGGGTGAGGAGATAGCTACCTATGTTGATGGTTTTCCAGATGGGGAAATTCTGGCCTAGAGGGGAAGTGACCCACCCAAGACCACGTGGTTTTCAAAGCTGAAGCTTGAATCTAGATTACCTGCATCTGAGCCCACAGTTCTATCTACGAACCCCCAGACCCTCCACCCTGGTTCACTCTTTGGCAGGTCACCACCCTCTAGTTCCCTTCTGGAAAGGATACACGTTAGCCCAATTCCAAGTCCACAGACATTACTGAGGAATGAGGTCTGGGGAATGAGCCAGGAGGCGCACAGAAGCAGCCACGGCACCAGCATCGAGGGCACAACCATGCCAAAGACCAGGGCCCTCCTCATCCGAGAGCGGACAGAGTTGACTCCCAGCATGGCAAAAGCCACGGGGGTGAAACCTCTAGCATCTTCCACCTCCCCCAGCTTCGACAGCGACGACACAGCTTCAAACGACAGGAAGATGATGGCGGAGAAGATGGCGAAGATCACGGTGAAGAAGCAGTGGCGGACGGTGCCCACGGTTCTCTCGAAATTGCCAGCAAAGCGCCAGATGATAATAGCACCGCAGAGCAGGGAGACCGGGTTCTCATAGACGAAGATGTACGTCACCAGCCTGTAAACTGCAGGGGGAGCAGGGTTAGAGGCCTGGCAGTAGAGGGGCTCTAAGGAGGGCGAGCCAGGTTACAACCCACCTCAGAAAGGGGGCGTAGCTGGCTGTCGGTGCCACCGAAAATCAGCCAGGAGCCACAAGAGGCAGGGGAAGGCAACAGTGGAGGACCCAAGACTCAAAAGCAGAGCTGTGAACATCCAATATCCAATCCTTGCTCTTTCCCGGACCTGTAGCCAGTCCGTGACTGGCTTTCACGTGGGGGAAAAAAATAGAACCCTTTTTAGCATGGGATGGTCTTTGAATTGGTAATGTGCTTTAGAATCCCTTTTTTTTTTTTTCTTTTTTAAAGATTTGCATACTGACCTATCTCACCGGGCAGTTTGAGGATTAATTAATTGTAACAGCTTCAGGGGTGGACTGAGTGGGTGTCACTTAACACTCTTTGTGCCAGTCTCCTCGGCTGTAATCCTGACCTCTCCTTCCATAGTGGCTGTTCAGAGGAAGAAAAAAGGGACCATGAATTATTTTGTACCTAAAAAGATCATAAAACTACCACTAATAAGATAGACACGCAGACGTCTTTCTTGAAAGCGCTTATCCGATCTTACAGGTAGAGCAGTGCCTGATATGCAATATGACTGCAAAGAAACTCACTCGTGTCTTTCTAAAAGCAGTCATCGCTTCCAAACTCTTATGTCCCCGCAGGCCAAAACGGTAAAATGGAGGAGGGGACTGGTGAAGTTGCAGTAATACTGAACCTTGGGGGTGGAAAGGCTAAGCCGTGGAATCTTGGCTCGGTCACGTCCAGGCTGGCGGAGGGTTCAGTCCAGTCACAGGCCTGCCAGCTTTAGTGTCTTCATTGTAAAGTAATAGGATCACAACTGAGGCCTTGGAAGGTCTCTTACGTGTCAAATACTCCCACGCCCATGAACCCCACACTCAGAGAAGCTGTGAACTCAAGTGGGGAGAGGGGAGCTCAGTTGACACATTTTGCATTTGTCTAGGGGGGTATGCTCTGTGTATCTACATTGGGGAGAATGGTCTGAGCAGGGAGGCAGGCTATGAACCGTATACCTCGGCCGTCTCTGTAAGGTTGCACCATCTCAAGAGAACTTCACGATTTGCTGAAATCATTCCAAGTACAAAGTGAAATCCCCAGTATAAATGTGAAGATTCTAGAAGCAACTTTATAGGGTTTGGGTATTAGACACCCCTAAGGCTCCAGTTCCAAAACATCACACAGTAAGAAAAAAACAAAAACAAAACCTGTTGCTGTCTCAATTGCATGACTTGATAGCTCTGCGACACCCCCGCATTAAGGCCTGTTTCACCCAAATGATGGCGAATAATAAAGCCTACGTCACTGGGATGGAGATTAATGCTCCTGAGTGTGCTTTGCGAAATAACAAAAGGGATAGAGCTTTCTCATTTTCCTCCCCAGAAAAGAAGGGGGAAGAGACAGAGAATGGGGATGTCTCTTGCGGGTGGGTGTTTATCCTGAATCGATCTGCAAAATTTCTTAGCTGTAGATTACACAAACACCTGTTTCCCAAGGCACAAGACGTCTCCTTGTTGGGGAGTTGGGAATCGGAGTCAGGGTTAAGATGCACACTTAAGAGGAAGCAGAAGACGTTCTAAACCCCAAAGAGGCCAGGACGCTTCCAGGGGTAGCCACAGACGATGCTCAAGGTGTTGACGAAGGAAAGAAACACTGTTCCCGGGGTGCGGGGCAGGGATGGGGGTGGGGGTGAGGCCCCCAGCAGACGTCGGTGTGTATGTGAGCGGGAGAAGACAAATCCTTCTCGGGGAGCGAGCATGGGCGAACGAAGCGAATGGACGCGGGGCCTCAACCAGGACTGTGGCGCGGGAAAGGGGGGCGATTTCGGGCAGGGGAGGATCACAGCGATGACGGGGATGCGACTCTGGAGGGACTAAAGACGCGGGATGCGAGGCCGGTCCTCCGGGCGGGGAGAACGATGGCGCGGGCGGAGTGGCTGGAGGTGAGGCCCGACGGCGCGGGGAGGCCGGAGCCCGGAGCCCGGGGCCTGGCGAGGTGCGGGGAAGCCGGCTGGCCCCCGCGGCCCGGCCCCGCCCCTGCTCACCTTGCCAGTTGCGCAGGGCCTCGGAGCGCAGCGAGAGCCCCGACGGCGCCAGGGGAGGCTGCAGCAGGAACAGGCGGGGCCCGGACACCAGCAGCGAGAGCAAAGCGGTGAAGAAGGTGGCGGATGGCACCTCGGGACACAAGGACCAGCTCCGGTACCCGGGCTCCGAGGCCGCCATGGCCGCCGTCGCTCCCGCGCCCCTTCTTGGCGCCCGCGGCTCCTCGGCTCCTTCCGCCTCCCTGCGGCTGTCACCCCTGGCAACAGCGGCAGAGGCGGCCGGAAGCCCCGCCTCCCCGAAGCCCCGCCCCGCGCCGAGCCGCCCAATCCAGTCGCGCAGGCCAGGGGTGTCGGAACAGCGCCCTCTGGCGTGCAAGGGGCTGGGACCTCGCGCAGGTGCCGGGGCTGCGTCCGCTTGCGGGGCGCGGGTTTGGATCTCGTGGGCTCCGCTCCAGACGCCGAATGATTACTGTGTTGCGGTTTACAGAACTCTTCCACGCGCACGCGCACGCGCACGCGCACGCACCTGCCTTATCTGTGCTTATGCCCATTCCACCGATGAGGAAGCTGAGGTCTGGGGAGGGCCCTGGGTAATTCAGTTGAAGGGCAAAGGCAGATTTCGAACTCAGATCCTGCCCCTGCTAGGGCTTGGAATTGGCCGGGAGTACAGTGGAGGCAGGCTTCAGTGGCTGGATTGGAGAGGAGCCGGCAGATGAGGGCGAAGCGCTAGAACGTAATGGAGGGGAACCTGAGAGTCTTTCCATCCTCTATGTGCAGTGCTAAAATATAACTCTATGATTTTTCAGATGTTAATATAAAGTAACGGGACATGTTTAAATGAACACTGGGTGTTTCTAAACTCGTGCTGCTCATGGTGCAGCAGTGGGCATAAAAATTAATTGAGGTTTACTGAACAGGAAGCAAAAATATGAATCAGGGGTGTGGCGAGCTGCTAAAATCTGCAAATGGGAACTTGGGTTGCTGGAACCAGGTCCAGGCCCTGGAAAGAGGAAGGGGTTGGTGGTCCCGGCTCCTCGGCGCCAGTCCCGCAGCTCCAGGAGTTCTGAGACTACTTCTAGACACACACTCTGGAAAAGGATGTAGAAAATTAGAGTTAGGGTGCCTGGGTGACTCAGTGGGTTAAGCATCTGCCTTCTGCTCAAGTCGTGATCCGAGCGTCCCCAGATCGACTCCTGCCTCTGGCTCCTGGTTCAGCAGGGAGCTTGCTTCTCCCTCTGCCTGTGACTCCCCCTGCTTGTATTCTCTCTCCCTCTGACAAATAAATAAATACAATCTTAAACAAGAAGAAGAAAGAAAGAAAGAAAGAAAGAAAGAAAGAAAGAAAGAAAGAAAGAAAATTAGAGTTTCTTTAACAAAAGGAGCCCAGTTTGGGAAGGAAGGGGGAGGGAGGACTTCAAATCATATCTGATAAGTAACAATTAATTAAAGGAACCAGAGAGACGTCTCTGGAGAAGCTTCAGGGGTCCTGAACGGGGCCTGGGAACTATGTCAAGAGTTGTCCCTAAGGTGAGGGAGTAGATTTATTCTGTGTCACTCCAGAGGGGAGCACTGAGACAGAAAGGTGGAAAAGACAAGAGACCATGTGACATAAGGAAGAACTTCATGACAGTTTGGGTTGTCTGTCTATGGAATAAGCGGCCTTGCTCAGTAGTGAGCTCCCCGTCACTAGTAGTGTGCAAGCAGAGGCCATGTGATGACTTGGTGAGAATATTGAAGATTTTCAATCATCAGGTTGGAGGTGGAAGTAAATGGCTTTTAAAATCCCTTTGGATACTCCAGTTCTAAGTCTGCATAAACAAACACAAACACATATGGAGGGTTGATACATTTGCCACTTATCGGGGGTCCAGGATAATTGCATTTGGTCTCCTGACAGAATGAGAATTATAGGGATTTCACATATCCTACAGTCAAGGGAGCCTCCAACAGTCTATCTCTCTGACTCTGCCTCCTTCTCGTTTTCCTTCCAATTATCTCTCCAGAAAACCCCAAGACCTCTTAAGCTCAGGGGATAGAAAACCAGAATGAGCAAAGCAGAGCCTTCATTAGCAGGCAGGCTCGAGGATGGGGCACCGAGGGACTGTGAATCGTTTTTGTTCTATCCATTTTGCCCTTGGTCTGCTAAGAGACTTCTAGGCCTCCAATATGCTACCCAGGGACACCTCTGCCTCTGGTTCCACTAAGTATCCTCTGCCCTCCTGGAGAGTGTGTGGCTCTTCAGGTGCCAGACTTTCAGGCTTTGGGACAGAAAACACACACGTAAGTGTGGATGTTTTCAGATCAAATCCACGAGCAAATGCTGTTGGCTCTGCCTCTCACTCCCTATCTGGCCTCATGGGTGTTTTGAGGTTTTTTGGTTGGTTTTTTGTTTGTTCCTTTTTTAAGATTTATTTATTTATTTATTGTAGAGAGAGAGCAAGAGCGACTGCAGGGGGCAGGGTTGGGGAGAAGGGGGTAAGGAGCCGAGGGAGAGAATCTTCAAGCAGACTCCCTGGAGAGCTTGGAACCTGACATGGGGCTGGATCTTATGACCTGTTAGATCTCTACATGAGCCAAAACAAAGAGTCAGATGCTTAACTGGCTGAGCCATCCAGGCGACCCTGGGGATGGTTTTTTAAAAAGTAAATCAGGGGCGCCTGGGTGGCTCAGTGGGTTGAGCCGCTGCCTTCGGCTCAGGTCGTGATCTCAGGGTCCTGAGATCAAGTCCCACATCGGGCTCTCTGCTCAGCAGGGAGCCTGCTTCCCTCTCTCTCTCTGCCTGCCTCTCTGTCTACTTGTGATCTCTGTCAAATAAATAAATAAATAAATAAAAATCTTAAAAAAAAAAAAAAGTAAATCGGGGCACCTGCATGGCTCAGTTGGTTAAGCAGCTACCTTCAGCTCAGGTCACAATCCCCAGGTCCTGGGATCGAGCCCTGCGTGGGGCTCCCTGCTCAGCAGAGAGTCTACTTAAAATAATAATAATAATAATAAAAAAATAAAAAAGTAAATCATGGGACACTTGGGTGGCTCAGTTGGTTAAGCATCTGCCTTCGGCTCAGGTCACGATCCTAGGATCCTGCAATCGAGCCTCGCATTGGGCTCCCTGCTCAGTGGGGGAGTCTGCTTCTCCTTTTCCTTCTTTGTGTGCCCCCCCCCCTCAAATAAATAAAAAAAATCTTAAAGAGAAAAAAACAACTCAGAAGAGCCTAGGTGCATCTCATGTGTCCTGTTCCCTGAAAATCTTCCTCAGTCTCTCTTTTACCAGCTTATTTTCCCTGGGGGAGACAGAATAATGGCCCCCCACAGGTGTCCATGTCCTAATCCCCAAATCCCATGTATATGTTACCCTCTGTAGCAAAAGGGACTTTGCCAATGTGATTAAATTAGGAATCTTGAGATTATCCTGAGCCGATGGAATCATGAGGGTCCTTTTAAGGAGGCAGGAGGGACAGAGGGAAGAAGGCAGTATGAGGACAGAAACAGAGTCGGAGATTTGTGCTTTGAAGACTAAGGCAGGGGCTGCCAGCCAAGGAATGAAGCAATCTCTAGAAGCTGGAGAACGCAAGGAAACGGATTCTCCCCCCACCCCCCGGAGTCTCCAGGAAGAACGCAGCTCTGCCAACACCCTGATTTTAGTCCCATAAAATCCAGTTTGAACTTTGAACCCCAGAAGTATTAAGGTTATCAATTTGTGGGGTTTCCTTCCAATTTTAAAATCATGGCAAAAATACACACATTTACCCTCTTAATCATTTTTAAGTGTACAGTTCATTCACGCTTAAGTGTAAGTACATTCGCCCTTAGGAGACTGTGAAGTCTGCGAGGGCAGACACCTGTTCTGGAGCCCAGGACGCAGTCTGAGCTGCGGTGGTGCCCAGGTGCTCAGAAATACTTGGTGGTCCCTCCTCTACGCAACTGATGTCTTTGCACGGGGAAGAGAAGGTTGTTTGAGGAGCTGGAAACGAGCACCCCAGATGCCTCGCTTGGCACAGCTAAGACAGCTCTGTGACCAGTGCTAACCACCCATCTTGGTAGGCTGGGGTGCTCCTGGATTTGCGCCCCCACCCGGATCCCAGGGCCTGTCTGCAGAAGGCACAGAATGACTTCAACGCCCCCCAGGGCCCAGGGATGGGGTGGGGGACTGCGCCAGGGGTGTGGGACATTAGGTCTGGGGCGGGGGGGGGGGGGTTGTCCCCAAGGGGTCCCAGCCTCTCAGCTCCAGCGCACGGAGCAGCGCAGCTCCTTGTCAGCCAGCGCTGGGCTTCTTGACCCCTCAGCTGTGGGAGGATGGCAGCGGAGCAGAACGACAAGGACTGCCTGATCCACCTTTCCAGCTTCATTCAGCCGTCCCGGAGCCTCCAAGCCACGTCCTTACTGCCCCCTGTTGGACAGTTCGGTGCAGGGCGGGGGAAAGGCCCCGTCCCAGGGCAGAATACTGCCCTCTGCTGGCCCTCTCTGGAAGCGGCTCACATCCAGACGGATAGTTTAATTTTGGGGGTCTGGGGATGGGGGGCGACTGCTGAGTAGCTCCCTTAGGTCCCAAATCCTGGATGGCGACACCCCACGGCAAGATAACTGCAGCTTCCCACAGCATTCATTTACCACACCATCTCTCTCCAGTTCTGTTCCACACTCCCAGAATGGGGACATCCAGCAGTAAGCCTAAACTCACAGCCCCCCACCCCTTCTGATGGCAGCCCGGCTTCCATAGGGATCCTCAGGATCTCCCCCCGCACTTGGCTTCGATGCGTCATGGAAAGTGAGGTAGGCGGGAGCCAGAGAGTAGAAGCCCTCCTGGGCCATGTTGTGGGCTGACTGCTCTAGGCACAGCTGGAAGTGTGAGGGGTTAAGCTGGGGGAGTCATGACCCATTCATGTTTTAGAAAGTATGGGGAAATGAGCACCGTCAACATTGCTGAGAGGATTGAAAATTGGTACAACTTCTGTGGAAGGAAGTTTTGCAATGTCTTTCAAAATGACTAACATGTCATGTAGCTCTGAGCCAGCAACTCCGTCTCTAGGATTTTAAGCTACAGATGTATTTGCCTATTTGGAAATGTCTTATACAAACAGCCGGTCATTGTGGTGTTGATTGCAATAATAAAACGACAGCCCGATGTCTGTCATTGCAGGAATGATTAGTATAGTCTGTCCCTTCAAAGGAAAACCCAGTCATAACAAACCGACAAAATCAGACAAAAAACAATAAAGAGGAAGCTGTATCTCGATACGGAATGATATCTAAAAGATTTCGCTGAATGGGAAAAGCAAGGTTAATAACAGTGGATATAGTGCACTACCATAAATATAAAGATGTGGGAGAGATAAACATTCTTTTTTTTTATGTTAAATGACCATTCAGTTTCACATTCCCCAGGGTCAGTGTGGACCCCCAGTGGGATTGCATTATACCCCGGTTTCCCTCCACAGTCGACGTCCTTCCCTTCCCTAGGTGCTGACCCCGAGAGTGTTCCCGCAATAAATTCTAACCTCCATCTCAGGGTGTGCTTCTGGGAAAGCACAAATTTAATTTTACTGGAAGTCCCCGGTTTTCCAAAGTGGTTCGCTATTTTATACTCCTACCAACAGTAAATAAAATTTCAGTTGCTTCCTGTCTTTGTTAATACAGATGTGTGTTCTTTTCGGTTTTAATTGGTCTTTCCATGATGGCTGAGCACTTTCTCAAGAACTTGTTGGCCAAAAAGAGGAAAAGAGATAACTCTGGCTGCTGTGTGGAAGGGGCACGAGTAAAAAGAGGTGGCCCCATCAGTACATAGTACAGGGTCCCAGATAGAGATGATGATGGCCGGATACACATCATCGCTGCGGAGATGGAGGGGATGCCTGGGTGGCTCAGTTGGTTAAGCGTCTGCCTTCGGCTCAGGTCATGATCCCAGGGTCCCGTCCATCTCCCTCTGCTGCTCCCCCTGATTGAGCTCTCTCTCTCTCTCTCTCTCAACTAAATAAAACCTTTTTTAAAAATTAGAGAAAAGTAAAAATAAAATAAAATAAAAATAAATCAGAGATGGAGAGCCTATGAGATGGCTGATGGAGTGGGTATGCAGGGTAAGAAAAAGAGAGAAATCAAGAGGGGACTCCTTCAAGGTGCCCCTTACAGAACTGGGAACAAGGAAGGGGAGAACAACTTTAGGGGAGTGTAGAAATCATTTGGAAGGAGAGGAAGGATTGGGAGAGCTCAAAAGGGCAGGGAAGGCATTGGGGGCGGGGGAACAGGATGGATGGAGAATGAGTCTACACAAAGTTGTAGAATCAAAATGGTGTGGTACTGGCCTCAGGACAGGCATATGGACCAATGGGATAGAACAGACAGCCCAGAAATAAACCCTCACATACATGGCCAACTAATATTCAACAAGACCCATGGGTGCCTTTCCATGGCGGGAGGAGAGTCTTTTCAACAGATGGTGTTGGGAAAGCTGGATATCCACATGCAAAAGAGTGAATTCAGATCCTTATCTTGTACAAAAAGAACAGAAACAAAATTTAATTCAAAATAGATCAAAACCTTTAAACTCTAAAACTCCTAGAAGAAAAAAACGGGGTGGGGGGGATCTTTATGACATTCAATTTGGCAGTGATTTCTTGGATAGGACACCAAGGGAGCAGGCAATAAGGGAAAAAAGAGATACCTCGAACTTCGTCAAAATTAAAAACGTTGCCTGCATCGAAGGATACGATTAAGAGAATGAAAAGACAACCCACAGAATGAGAGAAAACTCTGTGATGAAAATATAGGTGTAAATCTTTGGGACCTTTGATGAGATACCAGTTTCTTAGTTTTTTTTTTTTTAAAGATCTTATTTATTTATTTGACAGAGATCACAGGTAGGCAGAGAGGCAGGTAGAGAGAGAGAGAGGGGAGGAAGCAGGCTCCCCGCAGAGCAGAGAGCCCAATGCGGGGCTCGATCCCAGGACCCTGAGATCATGACCTGAGCTGAAGGCAGAGGCTTAACCCACTGAGTCACCCAAGCGCCCCTAAATCACATATTTGATAAGGGTCTGGTATCCAGACCATGTAAAGAACTCTCATAACTCAACCATAAAAAAGGCAACCCAGTTAAAAACTCGGGCAAGGGATGTGAATGAACATTTCTCCAGAGGAGACAAACACCAATAAATACACGCTCGACCTCATTCATCCCTTGGGAAACGCAAATCACAACCGAATTGAGAGACCTCTTCAGACTCAGTAGGATTTCTGTACTGAAAGAAAGAAGGAAAGAGAGAGAGAGAGAGAGAGAGAGAGAGGAAGGAAGCAAAATGGTGCGATTACTGTAACACAGTGGAAGTTTTTCTAAACAGAATTACCAAAGGGCTCCACAATTTTGAATCCCACACACATACCCAAGGGAACTGAATGCAGGTGTTCAAACAAAAGTATACACAGCAATGTGCACATCAGCATGAATCACAATCAGCCTCCCAGTAGAAACAGCCCGACCGTCCATCAATGGATGCGTGGCCAGATAACACGTGATATATACATACAGAGACGTATTTGGCCATAAAAAGGAATGAAAGACTGATGCTGAAACACAGATGAATCTTGAAAATGTTAAGTGGAGGAAACAAGTCTGAAAGGAGCACAGATTAGGAAATGTCCAGCGTAGGCAAATCCACAGGGACAGAAAACACACTAGTGGTCGCCACAGTGTGGTGGTGGGGGGGTAAGGGAAACGGGGCGTGAGCACTAATGGGTATGGTGTCTTTTTGGGGAGTGATAAAAATGTCCTAGGATTAATGGTGATGGTTGCCTAGCTTTTTTTTTTTTTAAGATTTTATTTATTTGATATATATAGAGAGATCACAAGTAGATAGAGAGGCAGGTAGAGAAGAGGGGGAAGCAGGCTCCCTTCTGAGCAGAGATCCCGATGTGGGGCTCAATCCCAGGACCCTGAGATCATGACCTGAGCCGAAGGCAGAGGCTTAACCCACTGAGCCACCCTAGGCGCCCCTGCCTAGCTTTTATTTTTTTGAGAGGGAGAGAACACATGTGCGTGCAGGCACATGGCAGGAGGGAAAGAGGGAGAGGGAGAGAGAGAATCTTAAGCAGGCTCCGTGCCCAGCGCAATCTCACAGCCCTGAGATCATGACCTGATCTGAAATCAAGAGTCGGACACTTTACTGACTGAGCCACCCAGGCACCCCTGGCCCTTTTTGGAGAGTGCACAACTTTTTGAATATACTAAAATCTACAGAATCTGTACACTTAATAATGGTGGATTTTATGGTAGGTGAATTAAATCTCCACAAAAAAAATGTGTGCAGAGAAATATAAATGTAAGAATAAATGAAAAACACGATATTAAGAGGCAAGACGGTGGAGGAGTAGCAGACTGAGATGACATCAGGTAGCAGGAGTTCGGCTAGACAGTTATCAAACCATCCCGAACACCGACAAACCCAACAGGAGATGGAAGAGAAGAAGAGCAGCAATTCTAGGAACAGAAAAGCGACCACGTTGTGGAAGGCGGGTGGCACGGAGAAGTGAACCGGAAGCGGCGGCAGGACAGACCACGGGGGAGGGGCGGCTCCCGGCCAGCGCTGGAGCCAGAGCACAGAATCCGACCCTGTAGGAGTCACTCCAAGGAGAGACGTCGCTGCAGAGGCGGAGCGGGGGCAGGGCCCTCACGGGGACAGCACGGTCTCAGGTCACGCGGGGTCACAGAAGGACGGGGGGGGGGGGGGTGTCGGAGGGCTGCAGAGCTTGCGGGTATCGGAGTGGGGACGTCGGCGGCAGAGACAGGGCTGAGAAGGGGCTCTCAGCTCGGGGTCACCTTAACCCGTGACCCAAGGCACAGTCGGGCCACGGCTCTCTGCACAGGGACCCCACACGCGGCAGATCCGGGACACTCACCGTCCTTCTCTGGGAGGAGCCTGCGGGAGTGCGGTGGGAAGCTGCGGGTTTGCGGACTCCAGACGGGGCCGCGCCAGAGATGGAGATGCTCGGTCACAGGCCGGATGAGCTCGGAGCGTGGCTGGAGACCAGGGACACTGGAGGGACTGACAGCTTTTCTCCCGGGGGCGCACTGGAGAGTGGGCCCCCAGCTTTCTGCTCCTCCAGGCCGGGGACTAGGAGGCCGCCATCTTCATTCCCGGCCTCCGGAGCTCTACGGAAAGCGCTCAGGGAACAAAAGCTCCGAGCGCGAACCCGCGCAGATGACTTAGCCCGGGCCCTGGCACCGGTGGTGCAATTCCGCCTCCCGCAAAGACGTTTGAGAATCAAGGCAACAGGCCCCTCACCAAAAGATCAGCAAGAACATCCAGCCAAGACCAAGCTCACTGATCAAGGAGAACTGCGGAAGTCCAGAGGAGGGGAAAGCAACACATAGAATTCATGGTTCCCCCCCATGATTCTTGCAAATAAATAA